TTTCAGTCTCATAATGTTCCAAATGATAATTGAGAGTTGCTGATAATAAAAAGGGTGACGATATCACTCCAAAGGGAACTCATTTGAATCGACAGCATATTAAATTATCTCTATCAACCTGCTTCTGAATATCTTCCATCCATAGAAAGCGTTCACTGTTTTTAAGGCAAAAAATTATGCTTGAAGAGAAATTATTTGCAAATTTTGTTTTCAGGCTTGTTTTCCATCACAGATGAATGGATTACAAGCACCGCCCGAAGAAGAAATTAACCTTAACGAAAAAATTCAAAATAATATGTTATAATTAAATGAAAGAAAATGAAAGAATGAATTAAACAAAAGTTATCACGATAAAAATTATGAAAATCTAGTAATAAATACGGTACACTCAAAATTATAGAATTTAATCTTTCCAATATTGGAACATTTCGCAATTTATGATTTCATAGGGAAGCATATTCAAGGAAAAAGCATATTCAAGGAAAACTATATTTATCTATGCAAATATATGGATAAACATTTCAGGTAACATCAAAGATGGTGAAATATGCGATGGGGATACCAAAATTGTATTAATGCATACATTTGAACAAAAAATTTCATGAAGTAATGAAGGTAAAATGGATGATTGAAACAATGTCGTTTTCCCGATTCTTCGAAATTTTGACAATTTCATTGATCTGCTTAGGGAAAAAAGTATTCACGGCAATTTGCATGCATATAATTTCAGTTTTACTATTTATCTATCAAAGAATGAGTGAAAATTTTATTTTTGTTTTTTTTTTTTTTCTGTTTACTACAAATCAAATTATTGTTTACGACAACTATACAAATGTTTGCCTTAATTCATTATTTTTGATTTACTAAATATGATTTGTTCCTTGTTCTAATTCTATTTCAATCATTTTTATTATTTTATGTCAAAAGTAGACCAGTAATGATCCACTTAAATTGAAGAAACAAAGATTCCTGATAAGATCAAATTCCTGTATTGTAATCAGTTTACATATAACATTCTTATGAAGGTATTGCTTTATAATCGGCAAAGATTTTACTCATTCTTTGATAGATAATTAATAAAACTAATGTGAAATTACTGCAAGTGCTTTCTTTCATTTTCTTTTATCTTTTTGATTATGGCATATTATTTTGAATTTTTTTCGTGAGGGTTAATTTCTTCTTCAGGAAAGGATAATATCAAAACATTTAGTGATAATTTTATTGGTGAACGTAATGGAACAAGATGTAAATTTGAAGCTGAAGAAATAAAACACTTTTTTTCCATTCATCATTTTATTTCCATATATATTTGTGACGTAATGGAGAGAGTACATTAATGATAGATTAGTTTAAAAAAGCACCGAAATGAGAAAATTGATATCCCTCAGAGGAACTATTTTGATATTTCAGACAAATTCCATTGCATGTTGATTTTATCCTCCCATTGGAGGTCCTTCTGCTCCTTCTGGCCCTCGCCTACCTTTCAGTCCTTTTGGCCCTGGTGCTCCTTTACCACCTGCCTCACCTTGCTCTCCCCGTGGTCCTGTGACTCCTTGTTCTCCTTTCGGTCCAGTATTCCCTGGTCTTCCCAACGGTCCTTCAGGTCCTTCCCGGCCATCTCGTCCTGGTGGTCCTGGCTGTCCTTGTGCTCCTGACGTTTGTGATGGAGGACAAGTCTGAAAACAAATTTTGCAATCTCTTTTTAAACATAGTTTTTATGACTTAGAAACAATACATTACTGAACTTACTTGGACCACAAAAACTGTGCAAATAACTAATAGAAAAGGACCGAAAAGATGCATTGATACTAGCAATCTGAAATTATTTGTGTACAACAAGTTGAAAATTATGTGTAACACAATTTTTTTTTAAAATTTCCTTTAAAATTTTTGTAAAATTTATATTTCATAAAAAACGAACGCCAAAAAATATCAAAAAAGTGTTCAGATTCCTTTGGCAGGTTATTTTACAGCAGAGACTAACTAGGATTGAGAAACTACAATATCTTTCGAAATCTGAAATTTAACTGAACGGAATTCAAAGAAAAATTTTCTAGTTGTGTGAGAAAATTGGGCTTCTGATATGAATCTGTGCGGAATCTATAAAAGACAAAGAGAAATTTCAGCATATCCAATGGATCAATACATATTCTAACAAAATCTTACGGTTTATCCTGAATTCTGCCTCACTGAAGCTTTTTTACTGAATATTAACAACGATACGATTTTATTGATTGTTTCCATTGGCTTATTGGCTAAAATCACAACAATTAAAATAAGCCTAGTCTCACACTTGTGCGTTTCCTTGAGGAGAGAGGACATCGACATATTTGATTCGTTTCTTTTCAATTCATCTCTTCTTCCATCTCATCCTTGCAATTCGTCGTTTTCTTTCATAATTTTTTCACATCTTTTCCATCTATCTCTGGCAAATGATTTCATGTTAAATGCTTTTTTAATGTTGATTACATTTTCGGTAACATTTTGAATAAAGTATACATAAAATAAATACACGTAAAATGTCATCTTATGTAAAGTATCAAAATGCGTAAGAATCATATTTTTAATTCAATCAATGCTTCATTTCATCAAAGTTCAACTCATTTAAAATTAGTCTTTATCATAGAAATGTAATCGTATAGAAAAGTTTGCAAACAACTCTCTGGGACTGCTAAGAATTCAGAAGAGAGAAGTCCTAGGACGAAAACTTTTTTCTTATTTTGGCGTTTTATCGGAATCAGCAGAAGAGCAAGATGAGGCAGATAATACAGAAGAAAAGGGCCAAAAGGACAGGAATACAAGATGATGGAGCAATGGAAGACTGATGGAGCAATGAAGGACTAATGATGTTATGATTTCAAAATAAAGCAAAGATTCGCTTTATTAAAATCGTATTTTATAAGCCAATATTTGTAATCGAATTCCATTAAAGCACTGACAGCGATTTCAGATCGATGAATTTTGTGGGATAATGGGAGAGGTACATAAAGGACAGGTTTACAAACAAAAACACCAAAATAAGAAAATTTATATCACTGCGAAGAATTGTTTCGACCATTGCCCGTCCATTCATCCTCCTCCCATCATCGGTCCTTCTGGTCCTTCCGGTCCTCGCCTACCTTTCAGTCCTTTTGGCCCTGGTGCTCCTCTACCACCTGCCTCACCTTGCTCTCCTCGTGGTCCTGTGACTCCTTGCTCTCCTTTCGGTCCAATATTACCTGGTCTTCCAACCGGTCCTTCAGGTCCTTCTCGACCATCTCGTCCTGGTGGTCCTGGCTGTCCTTGTGCTCCTGACATTTGTGATGGAGGACAAGTCTGAAAGCAAATATTGCAAACAATCTCTTTTCAAACATAATTTTTATGACTTAGAGACAATACATTACGGAACTTACTTGGACCACGGAAACAGCGCAAATAATCAATATGAAAACGCGGAAAAGGTGCATTAGTACTGACAACGCGAAATTGCTTGCGTGGATGACGGTCGAAATTTTTTGAATATTCTTTAAAACCTGGAAAATTTGAATTTCATAAAGCATGAGAAACGGAATATAGCAAAAAATTTTTAGATTTCCTTCGGAAGATTATACGCAATTTCTACTTTTTAATTTTTTGAGACAAACGAATATTGTTGATTGGAATTATAGGCTTCCATCTGAAAATTATAGTATTTTCAGAAATTTGAGAAAAAATTTACAATTTAAATTGAAGCTTAACTAAGCAGATTTT